AAATATATTATTTGTTTTTTAATATATATTATTAATTATAATTTGTAAATGAAAAATTTGTGAAAATATGTTTTTTAATAAAGTATTTACATTTTGAATTCAATAACTTTTTCATATTTGATATATTAATTTTCATATAATATACTTGATAGCTAATAATAAAAAGTTATTTGTTAAATACTAAACTTTCAAATAAATACAGTACAATACACTCTTATTTACAATTCAACTTAATTTTTTTTACTGCTCAATATTATACCCAAATCGTTTATTATTTTGATAAATAAATACTGCCCATTTTGTTTACTGCCCTAAAAAAAATTTATAAATACTTTCAAAAAGATTAATTTGTTGATAATAAAAGCCCATTTTGATTAAAATACTGGCCCAAAAAATCATAGCCATTTTTAAACAACACACAAATTTAAAGGAATTAACTTCTGCAAAATGAATATTGCTTTCCCATATATTCCTATAATTTATAAATTGCTCGGGATTCTTAATGAGATAAATAAATTACAACAAATGCATTATTTTATAAATATTTATTATTTAGGTAAATTACATTTTTTTTATAGTTTTTGAGGATTATTACCATCATTTCTGTTATGTTTTTAATATTATGAGTGATTTTTTAGGTTCAAATTGTAATTAATAGCACTTTTTTAAAAGAAAAATAGAGCATTTTAACTCTAATTCTATCCGATTGAAAATGAATAAGAATATATTGTAAACTAGTAGATAGCCCGTCAAAAATGACGGGTAATGAAAATTTTCTTCTTACTTTTATGCATGTTACCTGTTATTTTAATATTATATCCAATTTTTATTCTTCTTACCCCCTCATCCCTTCAGGCCAGGTTTAATCTATTAAAACTAAGTGCTATGGTTTGAGTAAAAATAAATTTAAAGCATTTACTTGATAATACCAATATTATTTGTTAAATATTACTGATTAATTATACCTAATATTTACTATTAAAAAAAATCCCAGGCAAAGTTCAAAGCCATATTAATTATGAAAAATTCTTCCAAGCCCAATGAATGATCATAATAATTTTGGTAGTTAAGAACTGAAATAAAATATTTAAATAATCATAATGAATTTAAAAATACAATCAAAATTCAGATTTTCATTGGTTTTTTGATCAGTCAAGCCCAGGCCTGCAAAAAAATTTATTTTGGGCCAATGTCTGACCTATAATTAATAATAAAGAAATTCTCAAGCGTCCAAGCTCATAATAATTTTGAAAAATTTTCCCCAAGCCCAGCCCAATATAATTTATAAAAATATTTCCCAAGCCCAGCCCAGAATAATTTTATAAAAAAATTTTCTCAAACCTGGCCAACCGATAGTAATTTTTTTTTTCCAAGCCTGGAGATAGGTTAATCTCTAAAAACCATATCTATTTTTTAGTCTATTTTAACCCAGCTCACCCCAACCAAGGCCAACCCATTAAAACTAAGAGTGAATACTATGTTTTTGAATAAAAATATATTTAAATTAGATTACCTGAGGGCCATATAAATATTCTGTGTTAAATATTACACCTATGCCTAATATTAAAAAAATTCCCAAGCCAGGTCCTCGCACTTAGTTTTCTCAAACCAGCAAAAGATTATAATAATTTTAATAGTTGAGGACTGAAATAATATATAAAAATTCACAATGCATTTAAAAATACAATCAGAATATGAAAGATGCATGGGCCTTGGTTGATCAGGCCTTGCCATGTTTGCAAAAAAAAATTCAGACCAATCTATAACCCAAAATTCAAAAATCTTAAAGCACCTCTATTTTAAATTTTATCCAATATGATTACCATCAGATTTTTAAATTTTGATATTTCTAATATATGCTCACAGTGTACATTGCAACAATTTTACCTCTTTTACTCTTAAATTTTAATATTTATATAAAATTTATTAATAAAGTATATTTAATACCATACACACAAACTAAATAATACCCTTCAACCTTCAACCCATGGTTTTTTGATCAGGCCTGGCTATGTCTGCAAAAAAAATTTCAGACCAATCTATAACCCATATTTAAAATTCAAAAACCTTAAAGCACCTCTATTTTAAATTTTATACAATATGATTTCCATCACATTTTTAATTTTAATATTTCTAATACGTGCTCACAGTATACATTAGAGAACTGCAAAGTAATTTTTTCGCAACCCGAGCCCGACCCGAGCCCGAATTAAAAAAAATTTTTGTCCGAGCCCGACCCGAGCCCGAGCACACATTTTTTAGTCCAACCCGAGCCGACCCGAGCCCGACCCGAATAAAATTTTGCAATTTAAGTTTTAATATTATAATAACCAAAAAAAAATTTATGTGTATTTATTCAGTTCAGCCACCTTAAATAAAAGTTTATTTGACGGCCATAATCTATACAAGATATATATTAAGTTGCATTTTATTAAATTTGTAAAAAATATTATAAAATGATTAATATACAAGCGAATTTAAAAATTATAACGATTATATAATACAATAAGCATCATTTATGCGAATATAGATATGATATAAAAGTTAATAAATATATAAAAAATATAATGAACATATTATATTATATTGACCTCATCAATATCATTATCAAAATTATCACAAAGTGAATAATTATGATATATAAATAAAGAGGCGTCCAGTTAATCTGGCTTTAAACGAGTCCTTCTATCCTCAAAGGCCCTACCTGGAAATCGCCCTTTCACTGCTAGCCGACGAAGCAGGGATAGCCAGGAATTTAAGAGCTAAAATACTTAAATTTGGAAACTCATAATGGTTTGTTTTCCACCATTTTAAAATATTATCGTCATCAATACATAATTTCGGATCTAGGTATTTTTTTAGCTCGTCAACTTCGGCGCTAGCATCAGAATACGCATTGTCAGCCTCCCATAGAGAGAAGTCCAAAAACGTATCTACCACCTCTGTAGTTTCTTAAGAAAAAAATATTCATTAATAATGTTAAGATATATATTTATTTTATTATTTTTTAATAAATAATTTTATTAATAATTTAACCATATTTTCATAAATTTGTTACCAGCACATCGACCCATTTTCATATATGAGTTTAATATAGAAAATAATTTATTGCGGATACCATCAGCAGTATCTACTGAATTTCTAGAAATTGTCGTAGGATTTGGAATGATGCTTTTAACATCAATATTTCCATATATTGAACCAATTTTGGCAAAATATTGGCAACAATCAACAAAGCCTTCCCCATGAATTGTATCAAATGATCTCAAATCACGTCCACAAAACATAGTAAGCACCTTTGTGCACTCTTTTTTCAATTTTGTACAACTTTTGAGTTTTTTCGGATCAGTACCAAAAAGACTATCAATTGTTAATTGTGTCTTTTTACTCTCTGCTGTTGTACTTGTATTTGTATATACACATTTATGTCTTTTAAGTTGATTTGCTCTTAAAATAATTTAATAAGTTCATATACCTGTTGTTATTGAATTATATACATAAATAAATTTGCATATAATAGAAATGACATAATTAAGCTTTTCTTTATTTTCATCATATATAAATGAAAATTTCTTCCATACATCGGATTTTCCATTAAGATTCTTCCTTACTTCATACTCCTTTGTCTTAATCTTTTCACCAATTCTTTTTAATTTTGCATCCATTAAGATAATTTTTTTAATATGGCTGTGTTAAAAAAATATTTAAAATGACTTTAATCAATTAGATTGAAATAAACAGAGTTGGGCAGTACTGCTAATACTTGTATCTAAGATACATGATACAAGATCCCTTTATATCTTGTACTCAGTATATTTTGACATTTTTAATAAGATACTAATATCTGTATCTAAGATCCTTAATTCTGAAAAGAATCTTGTATCTTTTTCATTTTCTTGACAAAAGATACAGATACAGATTCTTTTTAATATTCATGTTTTAAATTTTACATATCACAGTATACATCTTATTTTCTTTGAGAATCTTGTATTAATTTCCTAATTTTTTTCTGCCATATTTTAAAATATTGACAACCAAAATTATCTGGAAAATTTATAACTAATATTAAGGTAGATAGATAAAAAAATAATAATACCAAAACGAAATAAGTAAAGATTATATTTTATATATAAATGTAACTTACCAATTTTATATAATATTTTTTAATTTCTAGGATGGGATGATTAACATTTATGGCAGTGAAATTTAAATTATAGAAATAAGTTCCCCTGAATCAAATCCCAATCTTAAATTTTATATGGAAATTTTTTAAAACAAATGTTATAAAAGACAATGTATAGGCTAGATAAATAATAAATAATGAATAAAACTTATCTTTAGTACATAAAATATGTCTTATCTTGTAATTCACGGGAAACACACAATTTAGTGATAAAATAGTTTGGTATCCGGTTGTTAGGTTTATAAAATAATAATTAATAATGACATGACATGTTAATATGATTGACATTTTAATCCTTAAATGTGATAAATATTAAATAATATGATTTTATAATTAATATTATAAATTATACTGACTATTTAAGATATTAATATTATTATTTATTTTCGGGTCGGGTCGGGCTACGGACAGCCCGTGCAGTTCTCTAGTATACATAACAATTTTACCTCTTTTACTCTTAAATTTAAATATTTATATAAAATTTATTAATAAAGTATATTTAATACCATACACACAAACTAAATAATTACCCTTCAACATCTATATAAATAATATTTTAAATTTAATTATGTTCAAATTGGTGCATGCGTGAAACTTTAATATATATAAATTAATATTTTAAATTTATTTATATTGAAGTTGGTGCATGCGGTAAAGCATATGCCTTTGAAACGGGAAGCTCGAGTTCGATTCTCGTAGAGAGCAAAAATTAACATTACACTATATAGTCTCCTTAAATTTAAAATATATTAGGGAGATAAGAAAACGATCGTGTTTATTTATGGAGATTTTATATATTAAATTAGGGAAAACTCACTTTGTTATAAAAGACGTGGAGGGTAATCGAATTGGATTTTCTGTTGGACATTGGTCCGTGGTCCTCAGCCACAATTGTTAGGTTGAGCCAACCATCCTCGAATCCTTTCAATTGATCGGTTCTTTGGGTCAAGAATACTTCACCCGTATTAGAATCCATATCAAACCCGGGCTGGAACCGCAAAAAACTGATAATATTTGTATTTTAAATGATTATATAAATTTGAGAGCACATGATCAAAAATAAGTCTAAATCAAGGATCATTTTAAACGAATGATTTAATTTTACTAAAATGTATATAAAGCTTCGGAATGATTAAACCCAGGGTTTATAAAAGGAATAGATGTGGGAAGCGAAACTCCTCTCTTAAAATGTTTACCGGAACTAAGAATCTATTAAAATTTCCTTGAGTTCTATCAGAATTCTTAGAGTCTTATTAAGTTTGTAACCAGAACCAGACCCTGAGATCGTTTCAAATGTAAGAACGGGATTTAGGAATCGAAATCACCTTTTTATAATCCCAACTCTTAATAAAAAAGCTTAATCTTGAGGTTTTTAAAGTAGATAATTTTATTATTTTAAATGTTTTTCCAATTTTTTTTAACTTATTGCCTTTCAGTCAAATGCCTGCTTAAATCCATGTTAAAAAACACATTTCATATAACAATAACTTTATAATTTTTTAATGAATATCACAAAAATGGACGTCTTTTTCTTTGTTAATCGTAGTCTTGATAGCTAAAGCTAGCATTTAGTAAAAAAAAATTGGTAAAGAAAATAATAACATCAAAAAGATCATGGCTATTTTATTTTTAATGGTAAAGTAAAGGAAAAGGTTAATAACTAACGCTCTTTTTTTCGAAGAATAAATGGTATAATAAGGAGTAGTTCGTGGTGCAAACAATCATAATTAGATTACACGATATTTTCAAAAAAAACCCATATGTTTGGGATGTTTCAAAAAGATATATTTTTTAAAAAAAATATAAATTTAAAATTTTCAAATGTTTCGTTACGTTTTATAAAATGACCCCAAATATTATTAGTTCAATAAAAAAAAATCTTAGTTATTTGATGGATAATATTCATTTATTGCAAATAGATATATTATTATATCAAAAAAAAATATGAAGTGGTTCACCCGATCCCTCATTGCCCTATAGATGATACCTCATTCAATCTAATGACGTGGAGGTCCGTCTTATGGCGAAAATGTAAAATAATTTCATTATAAAATGGATTGACTATGGATGTCAACTAAGAGAGTACCTTCCCACCCCATCCTTCTTAGATATATTCCTTGTCTACTTTTCTTTTTTTATAGTAAAACAATAAAAGATTTCTTCATAAGGAAAGAATTAATATACTTCTGGGTTTTATTCATAATTATACCATAATCAATAAAAAATTTGACAAAGTAGCTGACTACATTTTATTTTACTGTTATGAAATAACTTGTTATAACTGAAGCCAAATTGTAGAATAGAGGAAAGATAGAAAAACAAACCTGTACGAAACTCGAGCGTTTTCTCCCGCGTCAGCATCCGATGCGATAATCTTAAGGAGTGGTGCGTATAGCGAATAATTCGAATCGTCTTTCAAAGTCAAGTAATAGGATTTGTGATTAAATAGTGGAGTCAGTTCGTTGGAGTCGCGTACGGATATAGCCAACGTGCAACGATCGCGAGATATACGTTCCTTTGAATATCGTTTAGAGTATTTCAAATTTTTACGGAATTTAGAGGAGCCGTGACGGGCCGCCATTTTTAGACGTTTTTTCTGTCTTCGTATGTGTTTCCTGGTAGGCTTAATTCGTCGATCATTGTTTTTATCATTTTTCTTGCTTTGGAATGGGTAAGGTTTTTCGAAAAATTTGGCATAATAAATTTGAGAATTTTTGAGAAATATATCATCCGGTAAATCGTATAGGTCAGGATTCAGAGAATCAAGGGATTTATTGGACAAGCTATACGGAAAAGAGGCTTTTAGGTCACCCCTAGCGGGATAAGTTTCATGGCGGGGTCGATCTTTTGTTATTTAAAGTATATAAATGAGTGAATCTTTAAGTGTGCCACTAAGAAATCAATTGTCTAGTTAATACCATATTTACTACACTAATAAAATATCTTAATTTTCAAATGAAGCTCGCGACTTGATTTATAACCCTAACGATATATAATATTTATTTAACAAACGTGATTATTAGGATATCTTAATCCTTCTGCTTTATGGGATAAATAAATTGCTACCGATAAAAATATACGATACTTGGCTGGGAATCAAAAATAGGCCCTAAAGGTATAGGGTTGAATTATCGGGCCTTATCAAGTAGAATCCTGAAATAATTCTGACCCCGGCCCTATAGGACTCTATTGCCAAATTTCAAAACATTGGGGTCTTCACATTTGATTCTGGAAGTTTGACATGATAATAGCTTAATCAAGGTAATGACCATAGTTGGGTAATGGCTAAATGTCGTATAATTGGGTTCAATCTACAGGAGCGTACCAGAGGAAATCCGTTAAAATTAAGGCGTTTTAATTTATATTAGTTTCTTTCAAATTTAAGCGGCTATATTTTTAAGAAAAATTTCAAGGTCAAAATAATGTTTTCGGGTAAAAAATCAGACTAAAAATTGAAATATAATAATTACCCAACTATAGTAATGACACTAATAATACAAAATAATGGCATAACTATACCATATTTGACATGTTCGCGGTTCGTTCCATTCGGCTCCTTTGAAACAATGTGGTATTTTACGACACTGGAAATCTCGACAGAGTAGCGAGCCTTCCGCTCTCGATTAACTTCCTCGGCCCTATTTTTCCGAACACGCACAACGACACGTATAAGAGAGCCATCTACGGCAGTTTCCACTTGAAACATATTTTCGGGGTCCCCCTCTATTATTTTGAATTCGTAACCGGTTATAACGTAACGAATACCTTCTTTAACGACCTTATTTATCCCCGTGGCATTTCCATATATTTCGGCATTACATGGTATTGGTATTCCCATAAATAACTCGGCCCAAGCTAATGAATCGTTATAACCTGAGTCCGAATTAATCGGTGATATAACAGGTAAAACCAAATCCTGACCCTCGGATCCTTCGTATATGTAGCCGCTATAATATGTCCGGGAAAATGTAAAACGGGTGAAGTTGGCATATGATTTGTTGAAAGATGATAAAAATATTAGGATTAAATACTTGAGAAATATGTGATTTTCATTATTGCAATTGTGGAACATTAGTTGCGGCATAATTGAATCCCACATAAAAGGGTAATTGGTAATTGAATACTTTTTGTAACTATGGAATCGATTAAATATCCGGGAATTTTTTCTTGTGACGAAACAATTTCCATATTAATGATTTGGATATCAACGTAACATTATAAATTAATCACGATTGCCTATTAAACGTTTGCTTTAAGAAAAAAATTGCAAAATTAAATAATATAATTTATTTATTATCATTTTGAAACACCTTGTTAATTTAAATTTTGCTAATAATAAAAGAATAATAATAAAAATATTTTATTCATTCAACACAAAGAGTGTAACTGTTAAACATTAATATGTATTTAACTTTTAAAAAAAATTAAACTTAATTAACAACATTTTAGCATTTAAGTTTTTAAAAAAATCAATAACATAATAAATGCCTGTTTACCCAATCGTTATTAAGTAGTAAAGTATTTAATAGTTTAGTATGTTCTATCTTTTATAGTTCAAATTTATATTCCTTTCAATAACGACAATTTCTATTTAAAATATCTTTATTACCATTTTTTTTTTATATTTTTTTGTTTTATTATATTGTATTGAGATATGGAACTCAGGAAGAATCGGAATCTCGATTTAAATCCTTTACCGAGGGCGATTTAAAAATTTTAATATCCGATTTAACAGGAAATGTATTATAGCATGTGTAGAGTATTTACCCTATAAATTTCTGCCAATTTTGGCTATAGACATTTTAGTATTTTTTTAAATTATAAGAAAAATTAATATAAATTAGGAATAAGTTAATGGCAAAATTGTCTGAAATTTACAGTTTGGGTATTCTATACATGCTGAAATAAGATTCCTGTCAAATCTTTTTAAAATTGGCCGTTAGTAATAGAGAGATTCCGAATTTCCATAAATTCCATTTCCCAATATGATATACATATATTCATTATCATGCACTTATATTTATATTAGCCTCATTTATATATAGTAAAAGTAGATGGTTAGCTATAGCTATAATATCGCTGTGACGAAGGGCGATATCACGCTTATTCTACAAAACAAATATAAATGATGTCTAAAAAACAGAGTTAAAATCAACTGATAGTTAAAAATATTGGATACAAAATTATTTTTTTATAATTATGTAAACGCCTAGCCATAGCCCTCTAACCCACCCCCTCATCTTTAGGTCTGTGATAACTCCCCCCTCCCATCCGCTTAACTACTAAAATATAAAATAGTTACTGACTATGTTAGATAGCCCTACGTTTAACTAATATTTCTAATATCAAATAAAAATGTTTTAGAGCTCATCATCCCGTTTTTAAGTAAGGCCAGTTTAAAATTAACATTATATCCGACAAGAATTTTAAACAACTATATTTGTCATTATGGCACAATATTTTGATTAAATGTAAAAAAAAATAAAAATTTCATCTGCGTAAATCAAAATGCCTAAAAAATAGAGGAATTAGAAACCTTTCATATAAAAGTTTGTACCTACTCATATTTCATCATTATTAGTTTTTTTACTTTTCAAAAAATGTTTCATTGTATCTGTTCTGTATCTCTTCAAATGATTTTTGCCCCGTACCTTAATAAACACCTTAAAAAATATTAGGATTATTAATCCATCATCATACATAGGACAGGCTGCATTCTTTATTTATTTAAAACTGTATGTAAGATAATATAATCTGTCTATAATAAAGATTTTTTTTAAAAAAATCACAACCAAACAAACAATAATACCTCTTTCGTTAATATCTATCTTATTATAATATCTACCTACCTTTAACATTACAAAAGAAAGTTTTTATTAAGATTAAGAAAAAAAATTTTAATGAAAAGAAAGAAGAAAACTAAAAAATAATTTGTTTATTATTCAATTTTTTGCTTGCCGCACATCTAGTTTTTTTGAAAAAGTTAAAGTACACTTTAAATTAGTAATTAAAGAAGTAAAATAATGTTATATCATATAATTATTTTTCATAACTTACACTTAAAAAAGATGAGGGGAAGGGGGGGGGGGGGGACTTTTTTTTTAAATTAAAATTTGTTACCTTTCCTGTCCTTCATTTTTGTCGATTGTCGATTGATTAAAATAATCATTTTATATAAAATACTATAATAAATATGAAAATTTTCCAATCCAAGTATAAAAGTGATCGATATACATTATAGAAACGAATTCGGGTAATAAATATCATATTCATTGACATTGGCAAAGAAAAAAAATGAAGGAATGGATAATTTTTTTCATTCATATAGAAAGTTTATTGTTATTAAAATATAATTAGTTTCATTTCTGCGAAAACTAGTTACTTATAAAAAAAAATCTAACTAGTAACTGAGTTTATCTGGGATACAACTTTAGAAATAACTGATTACTTTTAAAGTTACATTTAAAATATGTTGAATAACTATATCCTATTTATTATCTTATGAAACATTTAAAATGAATGTTTATTGATTATAATATCTCATACATCTAGCGCTCCTTGTGGGATATTTTGAATTAAATTTTCCAAACCCCCCCCCCCCATTTTTACCAATGTTTAATTTTTGGGCGAGTAATAATGAATTGATATAACGTTTAAGTACCATTCATATATAAAATTTTAACTTTCGCAGGTAATTAATTATATGGGAAATGTTTTGGTTTTATAGGGAAGGCTAAAAATATAAAAACAAACATTTATTTAAATGAATACATGATATTGAGTTATAATGATGTCCATATATTTTTTTAAAAACTAATTGATTTTTTCCCCTCTCCTAAAATCTATATCAACTATCAATTGTTAATTAAGTGTCCTTATAATATAAAAATAGTTTATTTTTCATTAATGCAATGATTACTTGCTATATTGCACAGTAAATAAAATATTATCTAAATATATTTTCCTTAGATAGTAAAAAAGCATTACTAAGACTTTTTTTATTTGTTGATGTTAGGAGGATTAAGTAGCTGTATTAATACAATAAATCCAAGATAATATGATAAGATAACTTATATAGACCAATTGTTTGACAAAAATGGGATGGGCAATTATGGATTCAAATACGAAAGAAAATATATTTTAAAAAAATTACATTCCTCCCCTATCCATCTCCATAATAAATAAGGTTGTTGGTAATTCTAATTGATTTAATATTTCAAATAAGATAATTTAAGCATTCGTGATTGTTATTGATATAGAATTGTAATAAAATATTATTTATATATATTAATAAACCTTTTTGATCACATAGCAGTGGCGTAGCCAGGATATCTTTATATCATCTTTGTTAAAGTTACTGAACATGGAATAATTCTAAAATTGACCAATATTTTGTGCTTTATTAGTGTCTAACCACTTAAGTAGCCAGCATAAATGAAAAAATATTAATAACAAAATTTTGGCCAAATTTTGATTAATAGGCGACTGAAAGCATTATTCTGAAAATTTTATCAATATTTAGTGTTCAATTGTAAATTAATTCAATTCATCCAGTGTAAAAAGGAACCCCCCCCCCCCCCAAAAAAAAAACCTGCCATTTTTTGATTACTAAATATATCTTATTCTATGTTAAAAATAATTATTTTAATTAAATTTTTACATATAACAAAATTTTACAGAGAGTTTTATTATAGATTTTATTTATTATAAAATACTTTAGTATAAATAACATCCCTTTATTTAACTATGCATTTATTTTAATGATAATACAATAGAGTTCTTCATTGGGCAGGGTTTTTGGCCCGCCCGCCCATCTACGTGGGCGGGAAGGTGGGCGGGCAAAAAAATCGGGCAGACGGGCCGGCGGGTTAAAAAAATTTAAACTATGGGTGGGTGGGCGGATTAAGAGATTTAAACAATGGGTGGGCGGGTTAAGAAATTTAAACAATGGGCGGGCGGGTTAAAAACAATTTTAATAATTTAAGTAAATATTAATAAAAAAAATTGTTCCTATGAACTTTTTTGGATATTAAAAATTAAAATGTCCATTTTGGGTAACATAAAAACTTTTTTCTTAAAATAAATAAACTTTTTTGTATATTTAAAACTACTTTGGTGGAAACAACAAGAAAAAGATTGCCAAATCTATGAAGATTAGCAAGAAAAATATTGGCAATTCCTGCAATTAGTGCTTTTTCTGGACCAGGATTTAGCATTGCTGTAAGGGTTTTAGAGCAAATAAGAACGTGTTTGAATCCAGAAAATGTCGATTCATTATTATTTTTGCATTATTAATTACATATAATATCAATTTTATATTTATATTATTTTCATAAATATTTTATTTGATCAAATAAATTATCCATAATTTAAATTGATTATTTTTTTATGCTTAATATAGTAATTTTATAAAAATTTTTGTAGAGGTGTAATGCTGAAATTTTTTTTATTAGATGCTTAAAAAATTGAAATAATGGCCATAATTAATTAATAATAGTAGGCTTGGGTTAAAAATTTTTTATAAATAATGGGTGGGCGGGTAAAAAATTTTAGACTAATGGGCGGGTGGGTAAGGAATTTTAGACTAATGGGCGGGTGGTATATGTTTTTTAAAAACTATGGGCCTGCTGGGCGGACAGGTTAAATATTTTTGAAACATGGGTGGGCGGGTTATGGTCCAAAAACCCGCCCAATGCAGACCTCTAATACACAATAAAAAATTTCAAATGTATAAATTTTTTAAGATATATTAAAAATAACTGTATTTTAAAAAAATTTAGTTAAATATATAAATAATTCTTGTTGCACGTAATGGTATTTAAAAAAACATAATTTAACAGTTATAATTAATACAAATGATTATATTATCAAAATATAGATAACTTATTGCAAAAGCAATACTTTTATTAAAAATAGTATAATATATATAAATATTATGACTAAGAATAAAAATTTTATGGCTAACAACATATTACAATAATTGCAATTTTATGATTTGAATTTATAAAGAGAGATCTACTTTTCTCTGAGATTTAATCAAATTTTTATCTAGAATAATCTCCTTATAAATATTTAATAGGGCTAATCCATTTAAACGGTTTTCACCGATATTGCTTAAATAGGTTTTTAACCATTAAGTTGAAAAGACCTTTTATTAGTGCAGGTACTAATCGATTAGATAGCTAAAATAAATAAAAAACAATGTTTTGATATTAGGCAGGGAATCTAAATTGCAATTACACACAGAAAAGGCCTGCAAAGCATTTTTTGGTCTCAAAGAGTACTCTGTTTTGTCAAGATTTTTATACCAAAATTCGATATCACAAAATAATTTATCATACGATCCTGATAAATCATCAGAGTAAAAATTTGAGATTTTCTTAATATCCTCTCACGTTTCAAGTGTAATCAACTATTCAGACTCAACCGGCAAAAGAAAATAAAACTTGCTGTTTATCTTTACCAAATTAGACGATTTTTCTTTTAATTCAAGATTATAAAAAATTAATTAAAATTTTTAAAACTATCCAATTTGTTTAACAATATAAACTATATTATTAAATTTATAATTGTTTTTCAAAATCTTCGAGATATGCAAGTCATATTTTTTTTCCATCCTAAACTCTACTATGCCAGAAAATATTTACAATATATCTTTATAGCCCCCCCCCCTCCTGTTATTAAATATTTTATTCATATAATTTTTAATTTAAACCATGTGATCATTTAAAATTGAAAAAAAAAATTTATTTGTTTTTTTAAATATATCATAAAAAAAAAATTTTTAATTTTTTTCGGAAGTTATTGGGGGGGGGGGGGTATTTTAACCCCAAAACCTTCCCTTGTCTATGCCACTGTCGCATAGTGTCATTTTTAGTAACAGTCACTTTTTTAAAAGAGTGTGCTTTCTCGGTTCAATTCGCATTAGAAAAAATTATTGCTTTTTAAAAATAATCATTATGCCATCATGTCTTTGTAAAGAGACATGATGAGACTGAAAACCAGCTAGTGTTTATAAATTAATATCTGCATTTTTCACATGTTTAGTCTAGTCTAGTCCCCCAAACTATATTGAGGAATATTTTTTTAATAATTAGTTCTTTTGGTGTTGTTAAAGGTAACTATTTAGCAAAAAATAACGAAATATTTATTCTTGAAAAAATATAACTGTAACTAGTGATGCAAAATCTCTCCATTAGAGCTGATTTTTAAAAATGGCTAAGAAAAATATAAATATTGCCTAAGCTTCGAGATTTTGCTAATAGATGTCTAAACCTTTGTACCATCTATGAGCAAGATCTTTAGGCTTGCATATAATATTTTTCAAATAAAATACTGAGTTAGTCGTTTTTAAAAATCAGTTCAAATGGAGCGATGTTGAATCATTACTAGTAACTATATTTTTTGGATTTGAAATATGACATAATGATGATATTTTAAATTTAATTTTTAGAACGAGCACGTTTAAGACCCAAATTAAAAAAATTTTATTTCTAAAGTTAAATTAAAATTTATAAACTTAAGCCTATTTTTTACATATTTTTTCGTTTTTTAGGTGCAATTTTTTCTTAAAAAAATAATAAATAGCCAAATCTATGACCGAAAAAAAATATATATTAAAAATTGAGTTACATAATTAATTTATAAAGTAATTGTAGCTTGCAATATAACTAGTATTTTTTGAAATTTTACTAATACTAATTACTTTTTAGAAATGTAATAATTTATTACTTTATCCGTAACTACTACCGAGTTATTCTTCAAAAGAAACTTCAATAATACTAGTCTCAACAGTACCCTCTACCCAACTTGAGAATATACGGTATCCACTTATTATTAGTATTACACAATTTCCCGACATTCAATTAACTCAACTCTCCTTTTTAATGATAAAAAACAATTTATGAAATCGATATTTCATGTTTTTTTCGATACGAACAATTAAATGCATTTCACATTAAATATCATTTATAATCATAATTATATAAATGTAAAATGGCCCATTCTCTCACTCCAAAGCTTAAAAAGCAAAAAATTGTGTAAATTATATTATATCGATCTAATCGTACTTTCCCAATTCTCTCAATTATTTTTACTTGGCTAAATATAAAATTTACTTACCAAGAAAAAAAAATGATTTCCTTCCACCACCAATAAATATGTTAGATAATTCAACTCAAAATATGGGTATTATTATATAATTTATAAATTAAATCATGTGATGAGAAGAAAAAAAATATTTAAAAGTTGCAAGTTTTTGAATAGTTGAATTATGATTGTAACTTCAATTCCTAAATCTTCTCTGGTTGTCTGTCATTCCATGTTTGTTGGTAAATTTAATGGCCTTAGGGAAAGTTTTATGGAATTCTTAAACATTTCAATAGATCAGTTAGTAAATAATTAGCAAGGAGCTAGCTAATTAAATGATAAAATATTCATTTTTAAATAATGTGGAGTTGATGTGGAAAAAAATAAGATCATTTCTTTCATTTTATTAATTCATATATTATGTTGTCAAAATAAGTAAAGTAAAATAATTATCATTACAAGTAAAATTCTTACAAAAATAACTAGTTTCAGTTTATTTATTTTTCGGAAATATCCAGTTGTTATTTTTCTACTCAAAATATATTACAATATCCAATACAAACGAAAATTAATATGAAAATTCAAAAATAATAGGGTAATTTGAATTGGTCGACAAAAATGAGGGGAATTAGATTTGACTTAATTTTAGTGATATTTTAAAAGTAACTAGTTACCTTTGTCGTTCCACTCAATAAAATAAATATAATTAGTTGCATGATAAAATTAAACAACCTAAATATATAAGTTCTTTTTCTCCAAAAAGTAAACACTACTTCTTTCAGGATGTTAATCATAAAAAAATTAAAAAATCTATATTATCTACATAGTTGTTAATATTTACATTTAGTTTAGTACACATTTTAAATTTTACTGCCATGAGAAGATAATATTTCTAAAAAAATATTATAAATTAAAATTATATATAATAATTCATTCTTATTTGTCATAGAACTAACAATAAAAACTTTTTCTAAGATAATTTATTATAAAATATATATTAAATAGAAAATATTTTATATCTGAGTCGTTTATAATGTAAGTAATAGTGTATGTAGTATGTATATAGTATCAATTATAAAATGTATGTATTGACTAAAATATGAGTATGGCAATTCAAATATTTAAATAATAAAAAATAGGTATTATTTCCATGAATGAATGATTTTACTTTTGAAAAGAAAACAATGGATGAGAGTCAAAAAAAAAATTATAACGGTTTACAATTGTTTCGAATAATTTTCATTGTAAAAGATGACGAATTTAAAGTTAAATAGGTATAAAATTAA